TTAAATTAAAAGAATCCGACAAATATAAAACTGCCTTTATAGTACCTTTCGGGCTATATGAATGGAATGTAATGCCTATGGGTTTGAAAAACGTACCTTCTGAATTTCAAAAAATAATGAATGACATATTAAACCCTTACTCAAAATTTGTCATTGTCTATATTGATGATGTTTTAATATTTTCTGAATCAATAGAACAACATAAAAAATATTTAAAAATGTTATAAAGACAAATGGAATGGTAATATCACAAATGAAAAAAAAAACTAGCCCAAACCCAAATTAGATTTTTAAGCCATGAAATAAATCGAGGAACGATAACCCCCACTAAAAGAAGTATTGAATTTTCAGAAAAATTTCCTAATGAAATAAAAGATAAACTTCAACTACAAAGATTCTTAGGTTGTTTAAACTATGTATCAAAATTTATACCTAATATTCGAATATTATGTAGACCCCTCTTTACTAGATTAAAGAAAAATCCCAAATCATGGACTCTAGAGATGACTAAAATAGTAATAGAGGTTAAAAAATTAGTTAAGTCATTACCATGTCTAGGAATACCAAACCCAAAAGCTAAAATAATTATAGAAACCGATGCCTCTGACATAGGATATGAGGGTATACTAAAACAAAAGTTAAAAGATAATCCCGAACAAATAGTAAGATATCACTCAAGAATATAGAATGATGCTCAAAAGAATTATAGCACGATTAAAAAGGAAATTTTAAGTATAGTTTTAAATCTACAAAAATTTCAACATGATTTAATAAACAATTTTTTTTATTAAGAATTGATTGTAAATCTGCAAAAGAAGTTTTAGAAAAGGACGTAAAAAATATAGTTTCTAAGCAAATATTTGCAAGATGACAAATTCTATTATCCTGTTTTGAATTTTAAATAGAATTTATTAAAGGAAAAGAAAATTTGATACCTGATTTCCTAACTAGAGAATTTTTACAGGGTCACACCCATGGCAACCCCCTCTAAAACCCTAGTTGCGACTGAAAAAAGTAAAACAGAAAAGGGTCAAAAGTCATCTACATTGTCCTTAGACGACTTTGTCCCATCATACTCGAAAATCATGACCACTTGAAAACTTCCTACCTCAATAACCACTCAACTTAATAAATTTACCCCCCTAACACCACAAATTCCTCAACATTCTCCCCTGAAAAAACCCCTAAAAAAGAATTTCATATCAAAGAAGGATGCCAACAGATTATTACTTTAGAAGAAGACTGGAATCTCGAAGATGTTTACGGAGTACTGAGAAAACTAGCTCCTCCAGGATGGAGTTGGATCCCTAAGTCAAAAAATTTGAAAAAGACCAAAAAATTCTACCAATTTATCCTGATAGATACAAGATCTGCAGAAATAACTCTCATTCCTAATGATAGAGATCCCTCTATTATTAGTTATTCAAAATTATGCATTATTAAAATCATTTCATACCAAGAATGAAACCAACACCCTTTTACAGATAAGAGCTTTTGGAGGCCATTTAACCCCCCCTTCATATAATTATTTCGATTACCAAGAAGCCTAAAATAAGATACTATTTGATACCAACCCTAGGCATTCATGGTATATATGTTTTAAAAAAGAAGTACCCAATACCTTACCTAACTAGTTTGTCGATTGGTTTCACCAAATATGCCCTGTCCAATCCATAATTCCAAAGAAAATCATGAAAATGTACCAAAAATATAAAAGTCTTACTCCCCAATACCCTCCACACCTCCGAATTATAAAATTCTGTTCAACTATGGGAATAAGCTGGTTTTTGGCCTACATTATTGAAATCTATCAACACAAAGAAGAAACCTATCCTGAAACTCTCTGCTTAAAAACTAAAGTTTTTTGGTGGAAAAAATTCGAAACCCAATATATAGAAGAAAAATTTGAAAATTAGAAGAAAATGGGCTTTATCACACAAAAAAGCCCAATCCAAAGAGAAATCTCATCTATAAAAGAAAAAGGAAAAGCTATTATAGACTTATCTAAACTCCCCTCATCAAAAGTCGAAAAGGCCCAATTAAAACAGAAAATGATTGAAGCATTATCCTCATTGGGCTCGGATGAGGAAGAAGAAGAAACTGAAGTCATTATCAACCTACAAGATGCTCAGGATCCTTATGAAGATGAAGAAAACATTGATTTTGATCAGTTTTAGCAATCAATTCTAGAAGAATTAAAGAAGACGATTAATAACCTCATGAAAAGAATATCAACGAAAGAAGAGTTATAAAGGAAAGTTCATCGAATTATGAGAAAATTAGAAGAAGAAAACCTTTGAGAGCTCCCCTTCTAAGAGATAGCATCCTAGTAAGAAGTTGGGCTTAGTTGGCTCATCGCCCAACAAATGCTATGGTCCCACGCCTCATAATGGAATCAGCTGGTTCTTCACACAAAGATGATTGAGGCTCACACAGTTGAAAAACAAAGCACTTGTAATTATTCTATTTTGTTTTTAACGTCGGCCTCCGAAAGTAAAGGCGTGTCAATTGTAATCTTTGTCGGCCACTTTTAACTATAGTGTGCCAGTTGTAATCTTGAATAGGAGAACATTTAGGTCTATAAAAGAGTCAGTTGTTGAAGTATCATTTACAGTTCTCCTCGAGCCTTAAACTCTATCTTCCTCAGTCAACTCCTTCATAGCTTAAGTTCTCACCCTTCCATTATCCCAAAATAGTTTTAAAAATTGTAAGCTCTCTTAAGAATTTGGTAATCCTAGAATAGTTTCGAAAATTATAAGCTCTCTTAAGAATTTGGTAATAAATAACTTTGGACTTTTTCATCTTTCTTTTCTCTTCCGCTTTTATATGCGCGGGTGCTAGTAATATATAATATATATATATATATATATATATATATATATATATATATATATATATATTCTCCACAAATTATAAATATATTGAGATTTGTTTCGTACATTATCTTTATTGAATTTGTGATTTATTCTATTTCACACAAATTTTGATTTATTAATTTTGATTTGTTAGATGTAACTACAAGATACTTTTTAAAATACAATTAAATCAAATTATTAATTGAATTAAAATCATTAAGTCTTTTTTACAAACACAATTAAAAACGTTGAATTTTTTACATAGTAAATTATTTTTTATTGTGAAAATTATGATATTTTTTAATTGATATTATTTATAAGTTAAAATATTATTTGTATACAATGTATTATATACACATAATCATTTTATACAATGTATATATTAGCAAGTATTACATGGGTTTAAATTAATAATAATAATAATGACATTTAACTATCATTATTAATACTTTCTTTTTTAGTAAATGATTATACAATGTATATATTAACAAGTATTACATGGGTTTAAATTAATAATCATAATGACATTTAACTATCATTATTAATACTTTTTTTAGTAAATAGACTTAAATAGGCTAATTATAAACAACTTAAACCAACAAATTTAATTTTTTTTCTATTTTGATATTTATGAAAACTCTAAATTCCTTTTAAACTTTATCTTTCAAAAATAATAAAAATATAATAAAAAGATCAAGTATAAGAGGTAATAAAAATTAATTTAAAACTTAAAAAAGAAGACAGTTTTTTTAAAAACATAAATGAAATGAGCACGACATAGATATCAAACAAATGTATATAAAATACTTAAAAAAATATATATTAATACTTTATTTGAAATTTAATTGAAATAAGAAGAATCAAAGATAAAAACTTGAATATATATATATATATATATATATATATATATATTTTAAACATATCAAAATATAAATAATTTGATCATATTTATATTAATGGGTCAAAAACTTAATTGAAATAAGTAGAACTAAAAATAAGCCTTGACGAAATATATAATTTTAGAAGCATACCAAAATATAAATAATTTGATTATATGTATATTATTGTTTTTTTGTCTTTTTAATGAATAACATAGGAGATTGCATCTGAATAATATCTTCAAATTAGAATCAGAAAAATATCTTTGTTTGGGTCTCATCCAACATGAATAATTGTAGTAGCTTTCTCCCTCCATCATGTTATTTTGTTCAAATCACCCAATCTTTGGAATAGATGGGTTTGCTCCATGCATGATCTTCTATGGTCTAACAACTACGTGAAATATCAAGAGAATTTTCTCTTAAAGGGAAGAGTATACAATTTTATAATATTGTGTAAATTAAAGAATTTACCAACAAATATGAGTTAAAAAAGTTTAGGATTGAAAAGTCAAATGAAATATTGGGAAACTTCAAAAAGTTGCAAATTACTCTCACCACTTTCAAGCTTTGCTTTTTTTTTTTTTTAAGACTTTTTACATACAATTTAAGAAATATTTTATTTACATAAACTTAAAACTAAGTTATCTTCATTTATTGTATTGTTTTATAATTTTCTGTATTATTTCCAACTACTTTATTCATACTCTTATGAAATCATTTCTATGCTATTTTCACGCAAAAAAGTAGTGTTAATATTCCGGTGTAATATAACATAATCATTAATACGTCAATAAAAATAGTTTCAATTATGCAATTATATATAAGGGTATATATAATTGAAGAAAAAAAAGTACACAAATATATAATAAAACTTTAAAAACCAAAATTTCCATGCAAAATTTTAACAACGCATTTTTTCATATTCTCTTTTGAACTTTATTTTATTATTAACTAAAACTTATTAAAAATTGATATGATCACAAATAGTGATGTAATAAAAAATTTAAGCATCATATCTAACCAAAAAAATCAGAGGGGAGAGTAATCATGGTGAAAAAAGAAGATAGATCTAGCCATTAATAATTTATATCTTTACTATAGCAATGAAAACAATTGATGGATGCAACACACTTTTAGCCTTTTCTTGCTCTTAAAATGGAAGAGAAATGTATTTGTTAATTGAACAAACTTTTTTCTTCCATAGGCTTAAATATAATACAATTTTTATAGTCACACAACAGAAAAGTAAGATCTATTATTAATACTAAGCTTTGCAAGCACCAAATTTATGGCGAACATTGCATTTTGGGAGGCACCCCAGAATTGTGTTACTACTGCTACTAGGACTCGGTTTGTAAGTTGACAAAAACTCTGAATCCTGTTCAAGTGATTCGGTGTAGTACTCCAAAATGGTCACTATCTCATCAAAATGAGGCCTCTTATCTGGGTTGCTTGACCAGCATCTATTCATCAGATCACTAAATGCCCAAGGACACTCACATGGCAATGGTGGTCTTGCATTCTACACAAAAACCCATCAAATTCATAGTTATTAAACCCTAGCAAACCTAATAGAGTAATGCTTAAGAGAAAAATTAGCTTCTTAGGCAAATAATGAGAATTTCTGTAAAGAATTTAGTTTACAAACAGTTGATTCCATTTTTCTTCTTGTTTTTATCTATAAGTGGTTATGAAATAATTTATCCAAACATATTTTAAAAAATTTATATATTAATACTGCGAAGTGTTTTTATGGAACAATTACCTTAAATCATACCTAACATGATTTTTTATTAGTAGATGGTGTAAAGATGTGAAATAAAGATGCATAGAAATTATATTTAAAATGTGAAAACTTTCCAGAACAGCCATGTTGCTGAGTTTTCACAAGTCCCTTATGTGGAACAGATCTATGGCAAAATAGTATAAACATAAACCGTGTTTAGTTGATGGCATGTATATTTCAAAACAGAAAAAAAATCAATTTTAGATTCAAAGAATATCTCTAGGATAGTGAAGCATGTGCAAAGACAATGAATGAGAGAAAAGTTAGAATGGAGTATGTATATATTTGTTGCATCTGTGATTGGTTGGAAGCAATATCAGTAAAATGAGAAAAAATAAAGCCTGTCTATCAATAAGTGATTCAATTATGTGGCACCTTGTTCGGATGTGCTGTGCATGTGACAGGGAAGCAGGGGTGGTAGCAATCATTGATTTTCATAAATAATGTTATATCTCACTATGCCATATCTTAAATGTTGGAAAAGTAACCATCATGTATATGTCAGGTAAGATAAAGAAAAATCTAATAGTTATCGTAATTCAATGTTGTAAATGAGGTTCCTAGCTTGGATGAACAAGGCTATCATATCACAAACACAACCACATGCTCTGTAAAGATCATAGACAGAGAATAATTGTTGCCCACCACGCCAACATGCTTGAGAAAGATTCGGGGCACATTAACCATCAAAATGGGGTTATATAGTCAAGTGCATGCATAGAGAATGCATAGAGACATTATAGTAGTAAAGTAGATAACGAAAACGAACGTACAAACATATATATGCATACCATGATGGATATTAAAAAAAAATTAATTTTGACACTTTGTAATAATAGTGGCCAAAGGATTTCATGAACTCTGTGGGCTAAAATTATAAAATGAAGGGTATGAGGAACAAGTGCAACTTTACATATATGATAATTATGCATGCCCATGTTTCATCTACGTGTAAACAAATAATACAATGGAAAACTGTTCCCATTAGAAAGATCAGAAAGAAAACAACTTTAGAATAATAGAGAACGAAATAGATCCTCAATAGTACTCTTATAATGATATGTTGACAAAATCTACTTTGATGAGATGGCGTTTCATTCCTTCCTTAGCTTTTTCTGTGCTGGATTTCTTTCTAACTTTTTTTTCCCCTCATTCTAGCTCACTTAACTGGATTGATATGTTGAACAGCATCCATGAAATTTACAAAATGAAGAGTGTCACCAACACAATTTCTTTCTAACACATTCTTGTATACGGGATGAAACTCATGGGGGTCCAACTAGTTTGAAAACGAGACCCACCAAATAAGAAATGGAACCCACATGAAATTCAATCAATATAAAATAGTGTTCAAGTGTTTTACTAGTATTTTTCTTCACAAAATATGTGATATGACATTCTCTTGTTTCCACCTTTGACAACAGATAAACAACATCACATGATTTAACAGTTTTGCTGATTACAGACCAGCTTAAGTGTAACTTTGGGAAGGATTAAAAATGAAAGACAGCAATCTTAAGATATAAAAGCACCTCTTATGCTAACCAGATTCATATATGAATTTAGTGATATCAATATGACTAGAGTCTAGTTGAATGATTTAATAAAGTAACCTATTATACTACTAAGAACTAAATCAGTTGGCACACAAGGCAACATGTGCAGACTGAGCAATGTGCATACCACCAAATTTTGAGGTAAATATTAATCATGAGACATGTCCATGCAATTAGCATTTTTATTTTCTTTAAAAAATACAATAAGAGTATGAGTCAAACAATTTAAGTAAATTCTGATGCAAACCTTGTGGGAAACTGCAAATGCTGCCTGCTCTGGTGTCATGTTGTCAAATGGAGTCCTTCCTGTCAAAAGCTCCCACAGAACTATGCCAAAACTATACACATCTACTTTCTTGGTATGATGCTTTTCTTTGATCATTTCGGGCGCCATCCAACGGTATGTTCCGGTGAATCCTTTTGCACTGCCACACTGAGATTCTAAGCATGAGATACCAAAATCTGCTACCTTTACACACATATCTTCCCCCAAGAGGAGATTCTCAGATTTGAGATCCCTATGAAGAATCCCTTGAGAATGAAGATATTGCATCCCCCGTGCAATGTCAAGGGCTAACTTCAGAACAAGTTTGTGTGGAAGTATATCTGGTTGTTGGTGGTGCAGGAATTTTCCCAGTGAACCCCCAGCCAAATACTCAGTAATTATGCAGAAGACAGGAGGTTTCTTGCAAGCAGCAATAAACTGCATGATCAATAAAAGTCAATAGTTAATATCTCATATTCAGCAGAAGAAATTTTATATTTCAAACATTCTCTTCTCTTTCAAAAGACCAAATCTAAGCATTAATAACTGTAATGATTTGGTAAACTTAAAAAGACACTTTGGTACAAAATGGACGATCTAAAAAAACTACTTTTCAATAAATTTTGACTTGCTGATATAGTTTTTAATGGAATTGATCCGCTTTTGACTGAACAAGAATGTGAAGTTCAAGATATTTAGAGAATCTTATTTTATTAATACTATTACTAGATACTAGATTATTCATAGCATTACTATAACATTGTTTTTTGTATTAATTAGGCTATTATCAACTTTCAAGAAAAAGAATTAACCAGTTAAAACACTTGCCTCACAAAAATCCTAAAGCTCAATTCTTGATCAACAACAACAAGATCCACAAGACACTGTAATAATTGGGGTGAGAGGGTAGCTCTTATGTTCAGTTTCAACTTTTCAACAAATAGAATGGAACGATATACTAAGGCATTGGAAACACCTTTGGCAATTTTATCTTCATAAGCACAAGCCACTTGCACCACTTTTCCAATTAATCTATTTGCCAACAATGTAGAATACTCGTATTTAATCCATTACTTCATTTTGCAGATAATTGTTTCCGTTTTGGTCTTCCTAGTTCCTTCACGAAATTTCACAACACCAAGTTAGAATTGCAAGACAAAACCGACCTTATCACTGAACCATCGAAAAGATTAAAGGGGTAAAGAAGCTATCCTCAAAAGGTGAAGGATATATGACAATTGGAAGTTTAGACAAAGTATGAAGGCCAGCATCTTTCACTCAAAAGTCACTAATATATATTCCTAATAATGTAAGCAAGAGAATCATCTCTCATATTCCACGCCAATATTAATAAGATAGTGACAAGAACAGAACAATAAATCAAGAAAACAAAAACACATAATTTTTTACTTTTTGGTAAACTCGTGATATTTTCTGACCAAGAGTTAGAGACTAATCCTTCAAAAGTACGGATATATCCCAGTTCATGTTATTTCTTACACATCAACCTGGAGATCAAACTTGAGACCACATGTTTAAAAGAACATGATTATCTACTAATTATATCAATCCATGTTGGTACAAAACAAGAGTTGAAGAGAGATAAACTTACAGTAATGATATTTGGGTGGCCTAATCGAAGGAGCAAAGTGACCTCAGAAGTGAATTGCTTCTCAAGAAAAGCAGCCAAGTCTTCATCCTCCTCCGGTTGACTCACTATCTTAATTGCCACATCCTTTTGCTTGTAAACCCCTCTGTAGATTCTGCTGTGCCTGCCAGAAGCGAATTTGGATCCAATGAGCAACTGAGACATATCTGCACTCCATTCTTCTTCTCCTTCTCCCTTTATCTCAGCCCCCGGAGACACCAGATACTTAGACCATGACACTGCGCGGTTGTACTCCCCAAGCGAAAGTCTTCTCCCCAACTTGCCACTGTTGGAAATTTGCTTGTGCCACCTCAAGTTCTTCATGTGGCTCACACCTAGCGCCTGTCAAAACCATCAAAGTTCAACCTTTTGCCAAGTCTCCTGCACCCAAATGCAGATCCAGTAACGGCCTAAAAGTCTAAAGAAATGCACCTATTCGCAGAATACCCAAGTGAGAAAAAGTTTATTTTCAGGGCTTAAATGGTTAGTGAGGCAACTACATTATAAATTTTCCGCACCATTCAGTCCCCCCTTTCACCTACAGAAGCTGAAAAACAAAGGAAGAAAACCAGGACCATGGAGAAGAAGCTCACAGCCCTTTACGGTTTTTGGTGAAAAGAACAAAATTTTAACCAGAGGTAGCACAAAGAGAAAGAGATAGAAGTTTTGTGGATTTCCAACTTCCAATCAAGTGCCTGCAGCAAATGTGAGAGAGAGTGTGTGTGTGTGTGAGAGAGAGAGAGAGAGAGAAATAGTTTTAGTTGGTAGTATCAAGACAAACAATTGATATAATTAGTAAATATAAAGTTGATGATATATCTTATATACACATAAGTTAGAATCCTAGTGTATTGTCTGTTGAAAGTCTCTATTCATAGGTAAATTTTTAAAGATTCTTTTAAAATACTTTTTGAATTTTGATCTCACTGTGATAAAACTCAATTTACCTTGTCAACATTTCACTGTGATAATCTCACTTTACTTTTAAAATTTTATGCTATATATATATGTAACATTAATATATAAAGATAGGATAAATTCAGCGTATTTTTTTGAGTTAAAAGAGGGTTATGATACCAAATAATTTGTTATGTAATTTATAATTTTAAAATCTTATTATTTAATATATTTATAATTTTATTCTTTCATTATTTATAACTTTTATATGGTTATGATTTTATCTCTTTAAATTTAGTGATTATTTAATATATTTATTTATATATTTATAATTTTATTTTCTTATCATTTCATTTTTTTATTTTTTTATTATTTATTAATAATATATTATTTTACTCCTTGCTTATTAAGATCTGCCGCATCATAAACGTAAGATTAATATCAATTAACAATAAAGACATTTAGAAATGAATATATAATTTTGAAGATAAAGATATTTAGAGAAACCGAAAGAAAGCTAAAGCAGGTAATATAGTAGTTACTGCTGTTTGGTGTAGGAGATGGATGAGAGGGTTTGGGTTGGGGTGGTGAGGAGTGAAAGCATATGCAAGGGAGAGCAAAATGTGTTGGGTTGGGTACATAAGTCTCTCTACATGGATATTCGTAACGTGCGAAGATCCACTTATGAGGAGACAAACCGGGTCTGCCTGACAATGACCGCTACCTATTGCTTTTCCCCTTTTACCCCTCTATTTCTCCCACATTCTCCACTCTTGCCCTTTCCTTTTACCTTTCACTCCCTCTCTTTACCCCACCCCTCTTCTCTTTCTTATTTTATGTCACCCAACCAACCCCCACTCCCCACGCACCACGTGGTGGTTTCTTCTCTCTATTCTCTCCTCTTCTCTCACATCATAACAAGCAAAGTTTATGTCCACCAACTATTCAGATCTAGGTTTATATATACATCACTACTTCATAAATGAAAGCCCTACAAATAATATAACATACTTGAATTTATATATTGAGGTAACCATTTTTGTTTCAATAAGGTTCCTTTCTGAGAGATTTTAAGTAAAGAGGTTAATTAAATTCAGTGAATGATTGGTTAGGTTTGCACCCAAAAGTAACTATATGATGAAAGATACATCACCACTTTAATTATTAAATCAACACTCTTGGCGTCTTTAATAATTAAGCCATCACTCTTAAATCATGTATTTCATTTAGATTTTATATAAAATAATATTTTTAATTGGTTATATAAGGATAATTTTTAGAAGAAGAAAAAAATAAAAAAAGTGAGGCCATAATTGGGGGATGGGATTGCGGTGGAGTTACATGGATGGGATGGAGGAGCATTTGAATGGAGAGTAATATGGTTGGTGGTATTCTATGTAGGGGCAGGTTGGTCAGTTTAAGGAACATGGGTGACTACAATGTCTGGTTAGGAAGACCAGTTCACAGGAACTAAAGAAAAATGAAGCAACAGAAACAAAATAAAAGAAGGGGGGAGAGACATGTGGGCCCCACCACAGAGGAGTTGGGTGGGGACCACCAGTTGGTGGTATCCGTGGGTGTGTCGGACAAGCCGTATGGTCCTCTTCCGTATACGGTCTCTCTCTCATCCTCTCTTAACGCATTTCGATGACCTCTTCAGTTATTTTAAAAGTCGTAGTAGTAAATGTTGTTGCATGCACCATCTTTTTCTCTTTCTTCTTACTTATATCCTCTTTACTCCGAGTTTCACATCCCAAGAAGATATATAAATATATATATATATATAATAATAATAATAACGTAAAATAAATAAATTATGAGATTTGTACTTATTTTTGGTTAAAATATTTATTATATGAAGTTTTTAAATTTTTTAATTTAAAATGTAAATATTAACATAATAATCATTTTTAACAAGAGTTATTATATTTATATTATATTAAAAATGGAAAGATATTCAAATTATTATATTTTTATATCATTTTTAACTTATATATTAATAGTTATTAGTTTATAAAATATGTTAATTAGATTTAATAATATAAATAAATACAATAAAATTACATGAATTTATTTTATGAAGACTTATTTCTACCGTAAAAAATAATTATCTAATATCGTATTAGGTAGATTAAATATGATATTCTAACTAACAATTTATCCCAACTAAAATATTAAAATAATGAATAATAACTTTACATGTGGGACTCATTTTATGATTTATGAGTCTCAAAATCTTAGAGGATAAATAATGTAAAAGAGAGAATCTACAGATCGAAACTTTCTTACTAAAGGACAAAAATGAATAGTAACATTAATTTAATTTTTTATTTTTTTATACATTTATCAAAAGATCTGATTCAATCTTTCCGTTATTAACATGCAAGGCTTAATGGGCCTAACAACATGTAACAGAAGAGGAATCATGACAAGGTAGCAAGATATCATTATCTGTCATTAACCTTTGTTGTCTTTTGATACAGCTGTATGACGTAAGGGCTTACGTCATGAGAAATTCCTCGAAATCTTCAAGGACAAAAATAGTCTTTGAATGACTAATGATGTAAGGGATTACGCCATTAGGAGTTCCTCAAAATCTTCAAGGGTAAAGTCGTCTTTATCTGAAAGACTCATTGAATGTGGAGAGACGGGATTTGTACAGTTCCGCCGTACATGTCTTCAAGTCTTAAGAACATCTTCTGGAAACTGATACAAAAGATATGTCTTCAAGTCCGGACTTACTTTAAACAAAGATAAGTTTTACCAGTACCAGCTTTGGAAAGCTTATGTTGAAGGATTTAACTGAAATTTTTTCAAAAATGATATTTTAGATTTTATTCTTCTAAAAGAAATTGCTGATACCAAGCTTTATTGGAAACAGTACATGGGAAATAAGTTTTATCCCTTTCCTACTGAAGTCAGTCCAGTTCTGGTGAGTCACTTTGAAAAAGAAGATTTTCAAAGAAATTTATGAAGAAACTGGTATCCATGTACAAGGAACTCCGGAAGCTTCATTCCCCTATGATGATGAGGACATACACTTCTTAGACCACATGATTGAAGAAGGACAATTTATCCCAAATATAAAATATTATGACTAGTAAAAAAAGTATCTCTTTTTATTTGTTTTATATAAATCAAGGTTAAAATATTTTATATAGTCCTTCTTTATTAACGTAATTAAATTATTTTTAAAAACAAAATCGTAATAAAACTAAATTTAAGATTGAAAATGAATAATATTTTGGGTAAGATATTATTCTAATGAATTTGAGATTAATCAATATTAAAAAAACATAATTTATAGTTAGAATTAATTTATATATAATTTTAAAATAATAAATTATGTATAAAAGGTTCTTCAAATTAAATTATATATAAATTTAATTTACAAAATACCTAATTTTTTTAAAATTTATATAAATATATTGAATATTACTTATATGAATATTTTGCACAAATTAACTCAGTTTTTAATTAATAATATTTTTTCCTTTCGTCAATCAGAGCACCTTAAATGCTGTACAATGAAATTATCCGTCCCATAAAATTTCTTAGAAATAATATTATTAATTATTTTATTTTTTTTAACAATTGTTTAAAATAATTTAGAATTTATATCATTAGGTTTCTTATTAGAACTATGATTAGATCGACATTGATATTAATGTCTTGCGTATTAAGAAGAGAATGTTAGTATCTTAAATCGAACATTAATATAAGGTATAGTTTTGATACATCAGTCTAAAAATATAAAATTTGAGTATTAAGGTGGAAAATAACGGAGTCTCTACTACATGGGAAGTCATGAAAAAAACTTCAATTTTGAGTTCAAAAAATGTAACTAAATATCTTAATATGATCAACCATTAGTTAAAAAGATGCAGTTAATTTATAAGATTATAAATAATTTTAAAGCATCTATTTTTAAAATATTAAATACTCTATTAGACTCATTTATTTATTTTTTAAAATATTTTATAATCGACCATGAACTATCTACAATTATTCATATTGTGAAAAACATAAGTGAATGAACATAAGAGAATAATGGACAAAATTTTCAATATAATGAAAAGAAAAAGTCTCACACGATCACTAATTTATCTTGCATTGTGAGTACTTATCTTATTAACTTAGTTTGTATGTTACAATGTTATCATCTTTTAAACAATTTTATTTTGATTACATAAAGTCTTTTTTTAATAATGTTATATATATTAGTCTTTTTGTTATAAAGTTACCACATTAAATTCTTTCAACCAATCTCTTTTTTTCTAGCCTTTATGTTATACATTATCATGTTAACAAATTAACCAATACCAAAAACTAAGGAATTGTATATCATCAAGTCTCCTTAGAACTAGACATAAATCAAGCTTCTAAAGGATTAGTATTTAACCTAATTTGTATATTGTTCTAATTTAGATCTTAGTGTCTTAAATATTATGCAAGACAATGTTAATTTCTTAAATAAATAAAAAAGATCGGTCAACGATAACTAATCTCTCTTACATAAAAATCTAAAAATCTAAAATTTGAGGTATATAAGCCTCAATTTTCATGTGGAGATTGTAAAAAAAAATATAAAAAATGAGTTAAAGATTACCTAAACCAATATCTTAACATGCACAAATCATCTTGATTGAGAAATACATGGAATTAACTAATAAGTCAATAAATATACCTCAAATCTCTAATTTTAAGATATTGAATACTAAATGTTGTATTTGACTTTTTTTAACCTTTTTCTATAATAAAAATCAATTTAGATAATTAAAAACAATTTTTTTATTAATAGATATTATTATATTTTCTTTATATATATATATATATATATATATATATATATATATATATATATAATGTACGAATAAGGGGAAGAAATGATTGTAAAAGAATTACAAGGAAAATGAAGAAGAACCATTGTGTTCATTAAAATATATCTTTATTATTTTATTTCATGAATTTTTAAATATTATATGATTTGTTTATTTTAATTGTAACTGTAGAATATAATTTTAATATTCGACTTTGAACACATAAACGTGGGAAGCTTCTAGAGATTTTGAATCAATATCATTTTTAGATGAAACCCATGCATTGAATAGACACTTTCTGAGAAATTGTTAGTCTTCTTCAAAGAGTGAATTTTTTTCTTTTTTTGCTTTCTTCTCGAGTTCTTAGAAATTTATGTGATAATTTTTTTTCACTTTTTTTTTTAGTTTACTCAAATGATGTGATTCTTTATTTATTTTTTCTCTATCTTTTAATTTATTTTTTTACTAAAATGCTCTTATATTTTTAGTTATGTTTCTTATCAAAATTCATAACTAATATTTCAAATGGATTTTGTATCTATTCTTGAATTTCACTTAAGAAACAAAGAATATATTTAAATCCTTATCCTGAGTTGGTTAATATTCCAACCCTATCAATCCTAGAAGATTAAAAAAAATGATAACCATTAAATATGATAAAAAATAATTAACAAGGAGTATTATGTGAAAGTATTGTTTTTCAAAATTGATGTCAAGGTGTAACAACTAATAGTTTTACAAAACATATTAGCATGTTTTAATTTTAAGTATATATGTATTAGATTTTCAAGTTTCTTATTAGATTTTGAAAAGTATAAAGGAGTCAAATTCATTTTATGTGATGATCCTTTGTCAATTCATAAGGAACAAAGGAAGGTAATCCATTGACATTGATAATAAATGCTGGAGTGGGACACTTGACAGGGCAATAAGAATGATTAAAAGATTGTACCTGTCAAGAAATTGACTCTAATAATGTTCATAGCTAGTTGGGATGCTGCCTTAAATATGTTGAGTAAATTCAAATTGATGCCCATAATTTATAGTATTAATATATAGGGTTGACAAAATATAAGATAAAAATTCATAACTTAAGAGAACAAAAAAAATATTAAGTAAATACAAGTGAATAGTAATTTTATTATTTTAATCAAAATAATAAAAATATATGCAGTATATATCCATTTTCCATGTGCTTGTTTCTCAATAAGTTTAGTTTTGGTAGCAAATTTGTTTATATTACTATTATTACTAGTAGAAATATAGTTTCTACCTGTTTGTTTATATTTTTTATAATAATACAAAGAAACAAAAATATTTATATGATAATAAGAAATTATGAATATAAATAAAAGTATTGTTATTATATTATCAATTTTTATTTTAAATAATTAATTTTCCTCCCTAATTTATTATTTTTATAATATTATTATAAAACCAACTATCACAATAAATAATTATTTTCTTCGTGTTATTTTCTACTATTTTCAAATATGAAATATACTAAAATTATTATTATTTAAAAATATAATATAAAAATATAAATTAGAAAAAAATGAAAGAATTAATTATTCAGAAACATAAGTTCTAATTAAATCTAACATTTTACAAGGAACAAAGAAAATTCTCAAATGACATAAATGCCCCAAATAACACTAATTAACAATCATTTTATCATTTATATAATTAGTAGGTTAGGTTAAAACAAATTAAAAATCGAATAATCCAGTATTTAGTTATTAATTAGGTCATTCAAAACAAATCCAATTTAACATGATTACTTAATCTAATCGTTCAAATACAGGTAAGTTAAATTAATCGAGTTCATGAGTAAAGGAAACTCAACCACGAGCATATCTTCACTAAATAATATATTATTAATAAATAATAAATAAATATAAAAATGTAAAAAATAATAATATATTATTAATAAATAATAAATAAATATAAAAAGTAAAAAAAAAGCAAAAATGAAAATAAATATAAAAAATATATTCAATAATCATTATGAAGAGTGAAAATCACGAATACATTAACTAGTTACATATGTTTAAATAGACCATGAATGGTAACTTCCCATAAGATTTGTAACTGCAGCCAATATACTTATTTAAGTTAAAAGAATAAGAAAATTGCTCTTAAATTAAATTACTATTTTATCCCAAAAATTAATCATTTGATTAAACTTCAACCTATACCTGTATTCTTATTATGCTCTTCAATTAAACTATTGTCTAACTCTTGAAATTGTAATATATATATATATATATATATATATATATATATATATATATATCACTAGTACAAAAAACACTTTTAACATCGGACTTTTTACATCGGTTGTTAAAGAACCGATGTAGAAATTTTTTTAAAGCCTTTCCACATCGGTTCAGATGGGAACCGATGTAGAAAGTACTTTCTACATCGGTTCCACCATGAACCGATGTGGAAAGTGCTTTTAAAATAATTCTGATCGGTCATAAACTCATTCTGATCGATCATAATCAAAAAATGTGGATGTCGCTCGAGCGAGACAGTGTCGCTCAAGCGAAAAACCACCCGAGAAGGCCAATAATTTTGTGCAGGTGGCGTCGCTCGAGCGAGACAGTGTCGCTCAAGCGAAAAACCACCCGAGAAGGCCAATAATTTTGTGCAGGTGGCGTCGCTCGAGCGAGACAGTGTCGCTCAATCGAAAAGCCACCCGAGAAGTCATTCTGATCGGTCATAATCTCATTCTGATCGATCATCCGGTTCTGATCGGTCATAAAGCCATTCTGATCGGTCATCTGATATACCATTTTACTTTCTACATCGGTTCCCCTATGAACCGATGTGGAAAGTCTTAAAAAAAAATTATAATAAAGATTTTAGACAGTAAGCTCCCACTCTTGCCCTTACAGACTCGACTCCCAGACCCAATTACAGTAGCCATTACCAAATTCATTCTCGCAGTAGCGAAAACCACCGTCTCCTTGCCCCTATCGCAGTAGCGAAAACCACTGTCTCTCCCATCTCCTTCCCCCAATCGAATCCCTAACCTCCGTTTCCCCAAGCGAAAACCACCCTTGCCGTGCACCAAGAACTGCGACGCGCACCAGGAACTGCGACGCGCACCAAGAATTGCGACGCGCCACCCTCGTCTTCACCTCTCTGAAACCCTCTAGGAGCTCCTCCTCATTGCACCTGCGCACCTTCGATCTCGTCGCGAACCAGAGGTGATTCGGACCAGGTCCGTGGGTCTATCCTATTGGCTTCTCATCCTTGTTTTGTCAATTACCTTTATGCATTTTCCTTGATTCTGGATTGTTTTGTTTGGTCGTGGACTGATTCTCGCCTGGGTTTAATGTATGTAGACATGTTTATTCCGGGTTTTGTATTATTATTTCCGTTTAGTTTGACTTGAATATGTGATTTTCACTTGGTTATTCTCGTGGGGTTGAGATTGGTGTTATCCAAGCCCTGTTGGGTTGATTGATGTCGCTCTGGTCCGAGTCTCTTAGCGGAAGAGTTAAGGCTATGGGTTTCCACGCTGGGGTGTAGGGCTTTGGGGTATTGATTATATTTGGTTCTCTTGTTTTTCATTTGGGTTTGTTTCTTATGTTGTTGATTTAGGTTTGTTCTTTGTGTTGTTTGTTTTGTTCCTGGAGTTTTACTGTTGTTCCAGTACTATTTCAGTTTGGATTATAGTTTGAGTTGTTTAAGTTTGTTGCCTCTGAATTGAGGTAATTCCATTTTCACACTAAGCAAAGACGTCATGTAGTTATAGATATGGATCGGAGTTGGATAAATGCCAAACGTATAGAAGAAGAATATGAATTAGGGGTTGAAGAGTTCTTAGAGTTTGCACAGAGAAATGTGGGTAACAATAGAGGTCTCTTTTATTGTCCTTGTGTGAAGTGCTTAAATTTAAGACAACTAAGTGTGAAGGATATAAGAGAGCATCTCCTTTGTGATGGATTTTGCAAGAGTTACACTAAGTGGATTTGGCATGGGGAAGTAGTAGATTTCCCAATGGCTTCAGAGACAACTGAAATCCAGAAAGAAACCAATGATCGACTAGAGGATTTGATACGTGATATCGGTGAAGTATTTTCATTCAATTGTTTAAGATAAGTATACTAACACCCTTGTATAATATTTCATTCATTTCATTTTAAGTTCCACATGTCTTAATATGAAGTATTTTCCATTTAATCTTTTATAGGTGTATAGAAGCATACTCAGTCATGGAGGGTAAGCCTAAAAAGAAACCCACATGGATACTTCCACGTGTAAGGACATTATCTTTCAAATTCTTAACTTTAATTTACTCATTTTCTCGTATTTAATGTTTTTTTTTCTTATAGTGTAATAAGCAAAAAGGAAGTTGGGAGTGCGGATATTATGTGATGAGACATATGTTAACAATCATCACAACAAATATCACAGATTTATGAAATTTGGTATGTGTTATGACTATATCTATGTCATTGACATATATTTGCCTACTTCGCTTATCTCGAAATGTTTTTTTTTTTTGTAGATATTCGATGATGGTCATCCAATAAGTGAAGCAGTAGATTGATGACATTAGACGAATTTGGGCAGATTTTGTTATTAAGAACTATAGTCGTGATTGAATTTAATTGTGAAACATTAGGACTCGCTAGTTTCTTTGTATATATAAACTTAGAATACAATACATGTTTATTGTTTTTGTTGATACAATACAATGTAGATATATAATATACATTATGTTTACTTGTGTGTTAATGCATGTCCTCTATATATAGATTAACATTCCGAGTAGCTGTAAATATTTAAAATGCTATACAGGTTCGAAAAATCAAAAACTAAAATTCGTATTTAAAAAAAATATGACTTTCCACATCGGTTATGGTCATAACCGATGTAGAAAGTGATTTTTAATACTTTCCACATCGGTTCTAGGCCATAACCGATGTAGAAAGTCGAACTTTCTACATCGGTTATGGCCTACAACCGATGTGAAAAGTCAGACTTTCTACATCGGTTCTTAACCGATGTTAAAACTAACCAACTTTCTACATCGGTTGTATCTACATCGGTTCTAGAACCGATGTAGAAAGCTGCTAAGAATCGATGTTAAAGGTGTTTTCTGTACTAGTGTATATATATATATTATTGAACTCTAATTCAACTAAAGACGTTTTATATTTATGTAAGTTTTAAAAACTCTCTTTATCTTTATCATTTAATAATATTTAAATGAGTAAACATTAAAAGAAACTCTAAATTTGACCATACTATATTCCATATAAATTATTTTTACCGCACCGTTCAATTTTTTGTTAATATTTTATATAAAAACTTGAATATTATATAATCATTTTATATAGTAAGTGGGATTATTTTTCAATATTTTATGTGTTATTAGAGAAAAAATAGCATATATAATGAGAAATAAAAACATACGGTAAGTTTCAATCTATTTACTATTAAAATATAAGATTTAAAAATACTTAAGACATAAATACATTTAATTATTTATATCATATATCTAATTTAAATATTTCAAAAAAAAAGTATTATCACATTTTTTAAATAGAAATATAAAACTTCTTCTCCACTTGTTAAACAGAATAACTTGAAATATAAAAGTTCTTGTTCGCTCCTTTAACAATTCAATGTTGAGACTCACCAATTAAAATATCATTTGCTCATATATAGCAACACGTTCATCGTAGTTCAGATTAACACACATAAACTATGGTAAGTTAGTGATAAAATTTTTTATTCATATGATTATTATAAAATATTCCCAATATTCACATTTGAATAAATAAATCAAGCATCGCAACTATACAATAAATCAAGTGTCTAATATCTCAACATGTAAGTTACATCTCATGTCATCA